CTCTTTCTTTTAGTTCAGGTAGGTAGATCCATCGTGGACGGGGAAGATCGAGAAACTCGTCGATCTCGACGCGCGTGTAGCGGCTTCGCGTGGATTTAAATTAAACGGGAATGCATGTGAATAATCTGGCGTGCAAACAACACTCTGGCCGGACAGTCAGTCATAACATAACGCGTGTTACGTGTCTTATTACGCGCCTTATTGCGCTGGCTTTAATTCCTATCCGCTTCGAAGTCAGGTGTTTTTTGTCGGATAGATAATTGTTTCTTCTATCGAGCGAAGTAAAAATAAATCAATGTTATTCTTTTTTTCTTTTTTTTAAAAGGGAAAAATCAATTCTTTAGAATTTATCGTATTATCGAGATTAAGTAATGGCTAAAGGAAATTTTTAACGCAAGTAGAGATAATTGGGTTGGCTACGTCAATCCTACGTAAATGCCGCCGACTGACGTGTCTAGAAACGCATTTTACATTTCGAAGAGGAATTCATAGAGAGACACATCTATTTTCTTATTAGTGGTTGGCAAGCCGGATCTCGAAATGTCAATCATAGAGAATATCGTGTAATTGTACGAAGAATTGTTGGCTTACCGCGGGAACAAATTACCTCGAAATCGATTTGATTTCGAATCCACGTGTCTTTGTCAATTCCTCCCCGTTCGCCCCACAAATTCTAACCTTCCCTTATTCTTCTCTTATCGTTTTTCTTCGCGATAATATGAAGAAAACGGATCGAACGAATCGTAGAGGGTCTTACGCTCTTCCACAAAACCTATTGTTTTATCCCCCAATTTCAATCGGTTCGATAGGTTCACTTCAAAATCGTTCCTTCGAACTTTGACAAGAGGCAAAGTTTATAACTCGTTTCACGTCCGGTCCTCCCTCCCCCATCTCGACGAGATCTTCGATTAACAACTCCATTCTATCCCCATTCAGAAGTCGGTGAAATTCTCGCTGAAACCAAGCATCGAATAATTTGGCCAAATTTCAGAGACGCGTCATAAATCTTCTCATCGATTCTCGTTCACTCCATCCGCTTCACTCTCCTCGAACTTGTCTGTCCTCGTATCGTCAAACCAACGCTCTAATCCCGGCCGTGTCTCCCTCACGAAGCTCACGAAGTCTCCAACATTTTCAAAAAAAAAAAAAAAAAAAAAAAA